ACACGAGATGAGGCAGGATAAAGAGGGATAATCCCCCTCGATCCCAAATCATTGAGGCCAATTTCTAGCCATAGAATAATGGCGCGATCGGTCGATTGCGATCCACTGTTTGAGCACCCCTGGTTTATACGAATAGTGAAATGGTATATGTATATGTTAAAATAGTATTTTCTGTTCAATTTTAAAGAAAAGTTGTACAAACTTGGCTTTGATGTACAAATTTTAAGGTTGATTTTAATTCCTAATTCTTTAGTAAAAAACTTTTAATGATTGGTACTACATAGTAAATTGTACCATTATTTAAAAATATATGTATGCGAATGAGGTTCTCTATGTACATGTATGCCAGAAAAAAAACTTACTAACTACTTAAAAAAACTAGAAGTACTTATGTATGGCATTAAGAAAATGTTTACGAAGTTGTTTTAGTTTCATTATTGTGAAAAAATACACGCAGGATGGGCATGCGGTACTGCAAGGATGCTGGATGGGTTTATGTATAGTTCCATTAAAATTTATGTATTTTAGAACCGCATCATTGCCGCATGTGTACAGCTGTCCTGCAGACGTTCGTCCTCAATTGTCTTTTATAACTTAAAATAATCCATATCTTTTCATTAATTTTGAACACACTTTATCTCGAAATTGTAAGGTTTTCGGAAACATGATTATAGGGATCTTTTTCGATAATTTGTAACTAATAGACTGTTATTAAAGTTGGACCTAACATTTTCCGTTTGCCTATGTTTATGAAACCAGATAAAAAAGTTTTTTTGACGAATTCCATTTAAAAAAGTGTAACTTTGTGGTATGTCTTGAAAACCTGTTGGTCTTAGAAGTGGTATAATAAGTTAATTAAATTTACCGTAGAATTACTTATGTGTTCACTGCAATTAGATTTTTTAGAACCATCCCTCTCCTCTTTGAGGAACTGGGTGAAGTTTATAAAGTTAAGAATTTTAATTTGAAAATAATTTTACAATAAATTAATGTTTGAATAGTTGAATAATACTTCTTTGTGCATTAACTTGAAATAAGATAAATCATCTTTATATTAAAGTTGAAAAATAATTTTCTTCATAAAAAATTCATTCGGTGATAATTTATGTATGAAATTTAATTGAAATTGATATGAAGGCGTTTGGAGGGTGTAAAATAATATCAGATCCTGGAAAAAAAGTTGCTAATACAAGTTTCCAAATATTGGGGATTAGGATTTGCGAATTTGAGGAAATTATAAGTAGTTACCAAATATGCGCGTTCTTAGAATGCAATTCAAAAATATATTTGAACTTCATTTTTTTTGTTATGTTAATGACGTACATTTACATAGTTATTATTAACATTTATTTCTGTGATAATCCACGTCAATTTTTTTATTTCAGATTCTAACGAAATTCGAAAATACGATAAGACTGAAGAAATTGTGCCAAGAAGAACAAAAGTTTCCAGTATTTCAGTAAACATTCCTGCTGCTGGTTTAGGTAGTCGCCCTCCTTCCGTTGTTAGTACCACAGTATCAGATGAGGGAGGATTTAATGAACCTTCCCCGAAAATAGAAGCAAAATTAAAACCTCATGAAGAATCTATTTATGATTTTCCTGTTAATGAAAATAAAGCTTTAGAATACACAAATTCTCCTGAAGACATAAATCAGTACAAAGAAAATTCATTTTTTTCTGAATCAAATTTAACTAAGTTAACTCCAGAACAAATAGAGGCACTTTATGCAGTCCCTAATAAATCTAGTCAACCTAGTGATAAAACATCTCTTCCATCAACTGATTCTGATGTAATTCAATATGCAGTACCTCATAAACAGCAAAATATCAAGCAACATTCTGTTTCTTCTAACGAAGACGAATTTTCTCAATATGCTGTTCCCTGTAAATCACTTTGCCAACAAAAATCTGTCACTTCAACAGACTCCGACATATCTCAAGTCACTGTTATACCTCAAAAGTCTATCGATTCAGATATTATGTATCACAACCACACTAATGTAATTACAAATTCAGTGCTTGCCGAATTAGAAAGTCAAGATAGTTATGAAAAAAACTGTCAGAATTGTTTAAAAAAAGACGATAAGATAAGTCACGAGAATTCCGATGTTCATGAAGCAAGAAAATCAGAACCTTTCATTATGACTCGTGAAGTTTTACAGTCCTCAGACGGGAGTGCTCGATCGACGGACTTCCAAAAATCTGAGGCCAATATTTTAGATTTAAATGATGTTGAATATGTGGATGCTAGTGACAATGATCAGGATAGTGTATGCATTAAAAAAGTACCTGAAGCTGATGCAATGACTCCAGATGAAGCTGAAAATCTATTAAGCAGCAAGTAAGTGCCTTAATATTTTATTGCTTAGTTAAAAATGAAAACCTTGAATGAAATTATTCTGAATCACATAAATTTTAAAAGAACTAGGAGTGTGAATTAATTTTGATGGATTTTTTTTGGTAAATTTGATACTTTATTGTGAAAAATTGTATGCATTATTATTTTTCAAAATATCTATCGGTAGCCGCTACTTTTTTTCCATCTTTCTGGCAGCATATAGATTCTGCGTTGAATAAACAACTCATCTTTCGGTGCTACCCAGCAATCAATCCAATTTTTTGTATGTTCATATGATTGGAAGTGTTGCTTAGCCAGGCCATGTTCCGTGAATCGGAACAATTAGTAATCGGATGAAGCAATATCAGATGAACTTGGCGGATGGGATAAAATATCCCATTTCACCGTAAGTTTCCAACAGCATTCGATGACTTTTAGCAGTACTTTTCTTTTAATTAAATGGGAAAAGTAAAATTTTCCACAAATAGTAATTATTTGTGGAAAATAAATATGTTGTTAACACTTCAGCAAAATGACCCAATAAAAAGTCAAGACCAATGACAGAGCTTTGATATGAATATAGTTACAGAAGTGCTGATGCGATATAGCATAAGTGACGCTATCTATGGTAAACCCCTCAAAATTAATTCACAGTCAGCAAATAGGAAAAGCACATAAACAGAATATCTGTGCTGTCGGTGTTTAGGAAACAAAATGTATTTTTTTCCTTTTGTGATGATATCCGGATTATATCACAGATTTAAAAAATGTTAACATTTAAAATGATTCACTTGCGAACAATTTTTTGAATGAAATATTAATAGACTCCTTTCACCCACGGAGTTTTATACACCATATTCTTGTAACTACAAAAATGTTTTTCAGTTTCAACCAATTTCCCCAAAAGAATACCTTTTTCTATTTTTTCAATAGCTTTATGCACCATCTTGTGTGAGAGGTGCATGTGTATAATGAATGTGTGTGTTAGATCTTACAAGATAAAAGTTAATTTAAATTTAATATGGTGTTGTTTAAAAGTTATGTATTAGAAACGGATTACAATCACAATTTTGAAGTTTTAATTTTATATAGCAAACAAACTTGTCGAGGCTTATCACCTTAAAATATTTGTATTGCATTTTAAGCCATCTGGTACTGTGTTCTGATAAGGTTGGCAATATGCTTTATAACAGAATCACACCTACCAAAATCTAATCTTCTGAATGTGGCAATGGAAAACAACATTTTTTCATATAACTTTAAAATACTGCTCCCCTGTAAACTTTCTTATTGTGACAAAATATACAAGGCGTTCAAATCATTTGAAAATGTCAAACTTACCTTGATAAAGAATCAACGAAGTAGTTTTAAAACTGAGAATCTTATATACAGAGTTAAAAACAAAACATCACTTTTCAGTGAAGAATATTGGGTGATTCACAGCAATGGGATGTTTGCCACTTTTTCAGCTATTACCATAAAATAAAATAACTGATTAAAGACTAGACCTGTATTTTTTATTTTACTTTAACTGGCTATTAAAAAAAAAAATGTAAAAAGAAACGATTTTGGAAGTTGCATCGTGTTAGACTATGCACCGGCCATTAATAGGAAGCTCAACTAAAATCGCATACCGTTGTTCTTCTTATAAAATTGTGATTTTGGTACTTTTAGGTTAGCATATCTCGAAAACCAGAGCCAATTGAGAAATTTGGACCTCGGATTCAAATTCAGTGCACCAAAATCCTTTGTTAAAGTCTATGTTGTTGGGCCTGTGTTTTAAGCTTAGTGTTGAATTAAAAAAATGTATATTTTTGCAATAATACATAGTCGTTTTTTGTTTTTTTTTTTTATTCAAGTGATGAGACTATTAAATTACACTTTTTGATAAAATTATTTCTGTGGAGATTTTTAGCCTGATTCGTACTGTAATTTTTATGTTAACGAGAATAATTTGAGCTTTATGTAGGATTCTGAATTGTTAAATATTTTCTAACAGAAATGACTTATTTGTTTATTATGCTTGTTGTGCCATTTTTGAGATATAAGGCTCCAAAAGTAACAATAACACGCAGTCACAGCAGAGTGAGCAACTCGATTATAGGGATATTTGTGTTATGTAACTTATATACTAAATAAAATTGTGACATCAAGACTAATATGGGTATCAGCAAAATTATCTTTTTTGAAGTTATATTTTTTTAACTTTTAGATTCTCATCACATGAACATGAAGTAATAAAATGCCCTAAAAATATTAAAATTTAGAGAATATGGAGACCCTGAATTTTTCTGTTCTGATAAGTTCTATTAAATACATTTTTTTATAAAAATTTAAAAAACCGAGGATGACATTTTCAAATTTTTTGATTTTTAAAAATTTTTTGTCACAAGTTTGAAGTTCATGGTAGGTATCTCAAAATAAGTAAAGCTTTGTCAAGAATTATATTTTCTCGAAAAATCAATAGTAACAAAGTTTACAAGAAGGCGATACCTCATCTAGAGGCATACCATATTAAATACAGAATGTTTTGTTTTAGAGCCATAGGATGTCAAAAATACTTTTTTTAAATCAATGTATTGCACTGAAATTTGGTACAGGTAAGTTTCTGAGAGAGATAAACTGGTTTAGGTCAAGTACTTAGGTATAATTTTGCTTCCTTAAAATGTTACTTAAAAATGGAGAATTTTTTTAATGATCCGTTATTTTTTGAGGAAGCAAAATTGTATCAAAATAACTTGATTCAAATCAGTTTATTTTCATCCAAGAAAGTTACTCTTGATTTGTTTCTGAACATTTTATATTAAGGAATAGGACCTAACTGATCTTTCTCGAAAAATTTTTTATGTGATGTTCATTCTTCATGGGTGTTGATATCTGAAAAAAAATGCTGACTTTAAAATAATATGTTGCAAAATTATACAAAAGCAATCTGTCTTTACAAAATTACCTTTCATTGCAAATTCGCTGTCTGCCACTAGTTTCATACATTTGGCTGAAAACAATACTTATATTATAGATCGTAGGTAATAACTGGCAACAGTGATAAGCCTGTGGTGTGGACGTCTAACAATGTATATTCGATAGCTACCCAGAGGCGGCACAGACAAGAGTTTATGTACACTTTAGGAAACGAATTGTGATTCCTAAGTTGATGCCTATTTTTATAGCACTTAAAATTCATAAATTAACATTTTTTGAAATACCATCTTCCAAATAACTTGCAAATAAAAATCGTACCATATTGATTTTGAAAATAACAATTTATACCGGTTATGCCTTGAATTTAAAGATAAGTTCAAAATGGATGCCAGTCATATCACAAAGTTGGGCATGACATACCTAAGAGTTTGTCATGCACATGATAGGGATAAAGGTTTTTCCCTAGTTGTATTAGCTTCGTCACTTCTCTTAATTGGTGTTTTAAATACTAAATTTTTCATCTAACTCCATAAAAAGGAATTACAAGAATTAAAACGCTCATACCACCCCTAAACATTGGCTTCCAAATTTGTAACTGTTCATAAATTAATAACATACATAAAATAAAAAAAAGTGATATCCATTAGGTTCTTTGCAAGTCCCGGTTTAAATTTTTTTACAACTATGGAAGTCTATAGCTGCCTTATTTTGAAGTTTTTATATGAAAAAAAAAAAAAAAAAATAGTTTTGAGTAGTTCTACACGCTGTCAAAAAATATGACAACTTTGGAATCACACCTTATATTTATGTAGTATAATAGTATAAGTAATGTATTATAAGTAATATAGTATAGTATCTCTATTTTTTTCATATTGGAACCTGCTCCCTGCACCAAATAGAATTCTGGAGAAAAAAAATAGGTAAGAAATCAATTTTTGCGTGTGTATTTTAACATTTTTAGAAAATAAGTTGTTTTAAATAATTCTTTAGATTTGTTTTATTAGGCCAATCAATAGTGGTTTTGTTTATGACAAAAATACTAGTAGCAAAAGGACTGTGCCATCATATAAAAGACAGTCTGAATAAATATAGGTATGCTTATATGTTTCCTACTCCAATTTACCATTAATTAATTTTAATTACATTTTTATGCAAAAAAACGCTTTATTTTGGGTTTATAGAAAATCAGAATACAAATAAAATAAGATGTCGATCAATCCGATCGGATAATTAGCAATGAAAAAAACCAGGTAAAATCGGAAAATTTAACGGTTTTTAAAGAATTTATTACTCCGCCATTTTTTAAGTTGTAGAGCTCGGCACAAAAGTAGTGAATTATATGTACTTTAAGTTTGCACAAAGCAGGCACTGTCAGACCATTAGTTTTGGCACAATTATTGTAATTTGAATTTTTTGGCGCACCATTTTGCAAAGAGTCTGGATGCGTTGTAGGTGATCCAATTTTAATTTTTCGGCCGGATTTTGAAAGTAGAAGTATAATACTACAAAACATATATTCTGATATTCGGATAAAATGCAAAATACGTGAAAAACCCTTTCAAACATTCTTAAAAAACGGTCGAGCGCGCGTATGCGGTCGAGTACTGGTGGAAGATCGGGAGATGAGTGGCAGTGGATATATAGGTATACAATTTTGAATATTGTTATAGTATATGTAGTTTAATATTATTGTAAGTGGTGATACATAATAAATAATATACCAGTTTCATGTTGTTTAAAATGACTGCAGAAGCATCTACATCTGCCAATAGCTAATTATTATTGCAGTCTTTCGTTTGAATATACATATAAAAAAACAACTGTATTGTAAATTCGTTCATAAACAACTTGTAAAATGTAATAAAATTTCCTTAACAGTATACAGGGACACCTAAATATGTGTTCTTTGGAACAGAAAAGTACATTTTGCAAGAAAACTTTCAAATTCATGTTTGATGTCAAAATTTCGCGTAAATGTCAAAAAATGCAGGAACAAAATAAGGAATGTCCACAGATTTCACATCATTGTGGTTCCCCGTATTGGAATGCCATTTCAACTGCGTGTTTGGAACATGGGATTCTGCTTAAATTTAAATTATTCACATTTAATTTTGTTACTCTTTTATTTATTTTAGATTACTTTAATATGTGTTGTAATGATTCACTGCTGAAATAGTTGAGTAAGAAAAAAGAGTGGAAACATACTGTATGTCTTTACATACCTGTGTTAACTTTTCTAAATGCATTCATTTTTACTGTACATAGTGATGGCAGTATAGTTTAGCTAAACTAGGCTAATGTCAAAGGTCTTGACACTGAGATTCACAAATTAAATACATACTGCTTAAAAAAATAGTAACATAAGGCTATTATTATTCGTGACTGAATATTGCTGAATATCTGACTTGTAGTTACTATTTCTATCTCTTTTGATCTTAATTGTCATATGGTAGTTTAAATCTCTTCTTTCACTCATACTACACATACTACAACATACGACTTCACTCGCGAAAAAAGGCCTATAATTGTTTCCAAAATTTGAAAATTCTCAAAGCAAGAGATGCTTCTTGAATGAGCTTTACTCACATTAACTTAGCTAAAACAATTTAAATATAATTTGAAAGGTATTTTTATAATGCAATTCATTTAACAATAAATTGTTTAATTATTTATTTGTCACATAAAAAATATTGTTTCATACATATTTACAATTTATTTGTAACGGAATGGTAAAATTATAAAAACATCAAGAAATCATTATTGTTTAAAATTAAAATGATAGGAGAAAACTCTTAACAGGCATATCTTATATCATATTTAGATTTAATTTTTTTTATGTTAAATATTACTTTATGTGTGTATTTTACAGACGAAAAAATAAAAATTATATTTGGATGAATAAATTTCTTCATTTTTGACATTTTGAACATTAAAAAAGAAAATTATGCATTTAAGAGTATTAATTTCCTCTAATACTAATTTTAAATGTTAATAGATCCGATATATTATCAGATGAAGAAGCACAAGAAGTTACCAGACTGCTACACCCGACAGATACTAAACCTGATAAATGGCAGCCAAATGCATCTAGTTCACTTCTACAAGATTCTATTACTGCGTCTATGCATGATTCTTCAGGGCCAATATCTTTGAATGACAGTCTGGGTCCCCCTTCCCTTCAAGAAGAATCAGTAAATGAACCTATAATTGAACTCAATGAACCTTTGTCTCAAAGTTTTATAGAAAATCAGGATAATGCCATAAAGGATATTGAACCTCTTTCTCAGTATTATGAGTCCACTTCAAGTTTAGATATATCTACCCGAGATGAAGAAGATGGCTCTAAGGTTGAATGCAGCGTATCAGCAACTGATTCAGGCTTGATAGGTTTGTATTTAAATTGTTAGTTTATGTCGCATGCATTCAAATATAGTGCATGTTATTAGGTTTTATGCATGTATGGGCTTAGAAAAATTGGTGCATTGGCCACTGATTAATTATTTTACTAGTGCAAATGCATAATGTTTATACCATTCCACAACAAAATTATTTCATTTTTATTTACAGATTCAACAAGTATATCAGAAGGAAATAATCCGGAACTTAACCAAGATAATGGATTTACTCCAAAGCCAATACAAGTAGTAGGCATTGAACATGGTGTACATTATTATGAAGATGGGCACTTCTGGATGGAAGTTCCAGGTTTACCTCCAGAGGAAGATGATGATGATCTTGAATTTCCCACATACATTCCAAAACCACCAAGTAAAGTGTGTTTTTCAGTGGAACCCATGAAAGTTTATTCTACATTTAGTATAAAAGAATATGATAGAAGGAATGAAGACGTGGATCCTGTTGCGGCTTCTGCGGAATATGAGTTAGAAAAACGAGTGGAGAAAATGGATGTATTTCCAGTTGAACTAGTAAAAGGTCCAGAAGGTCTTGGTTTAAGTATTATTGGAATGGGGGTGGGCGCAGATGCAGGACTGGAAAAATTAGGTTTGTACCAAAAATTTACAGTAGCAGCATAATGATCATAATGATCATAATGATAATAATGATAATAATGATAATAATTTTTTTTTCGTTAGACAATTACAATAACTGTATAGGAATATCAGTTCTAAATACAACATAGGTATTAAATTAAAATTACATTAAAAGTAACCCTAACAATAACAATAAAAATTGGAAACACTCCTGTCACCAGTTTAGTCTTGAACATAGAATTAATTTATGCCATAAAAGCGTCTGTCGACAAGGTACTTTTTTAGTTTACATTTAAAATAATTTATATATTTTATCTCCCTTAAATAGTTTGGAGAAATTCACGAAAATTTTATTTTTCCCTATTTTTATTAAAAATGTGTAATAAATATCTTAACAATACGTGTACCACAAGAAATTTGCATTAAAAAAAAAATATTGCGGTCATAAATTGAGGACATAGTAGAGACCCGGCTGGGACTGCGTGACGTCAACACTTTCTTCGCCCGCCCGTGTCTATGCGACAGGCACTAAAAATTTTGTTTTCCAAGAGACCACGCTTGTCGCTTAGTACGGCTACTTATCTCGGGTGTGGACGAGAATGTGCGTTAGTTAATTTAAACAGTGAGTTTTTCACTTGAAAAAGACTTTACAATAGCCGATTCGACCAATTTGCCGGCAATAGACATTATAATGGTTATGGAGTATTTTAACTGTAACAAAGACTTTATTAGTGCAGAAATGAGAGGAATTAAGCTGCAGAGGTAAGTAATACACTTAGTACTACACTTACTCTGTAATATACAAGTGTCATAAAATTTGTAATCAGATAAGTATAGATTGTTTTTTTATTTTTAAGATCTGGGCGAAAGGAATACGGAGACAATGCCGTGGGTTACGTCCAAGTAAAAAGGACAAATAACACCTGTTAATTAAAATGCAAAGTAACCCCAGAACATAAAGTAAAATCCAAAAGTTATAATGTAGAGGGCATTATTGATGAGAAAAATAGTACTGTTGTGAAAATCCAGTGCTCTGATTATGCGTCTTCTCAAGGTGGTTGCAAACACGCAGTGGCATTTTTAATGTGGCTACACCGCCGTAGCGAAGAACCCTCTCCAACAGAAAAAATATGTTACTGGAAAAAATCCATTTTAGCAAGCAGTATTACTACAAAAAAGTTATCACTGTAAGCGATTTTGTTATCAGACCTTCTGTTCCTGAATCTACTCAAGTATTTGAGGAATATTTGCAAAAGGCCAAGAATTGAAAATTATGCAACATTTTATTGAGATATGAGCGACCTTCCTCATATCAAAGTTTATCACTTCACAACTTAGTCTTAAAGTTTAAAGAGGAGGCACTTGACAGTAATAATGCTCACAAATTTTTAGAATTTGCAGTGCCTGTTTGACGAAAAATTAGCTGGAAAGATAGAAAAAAACACGAGGGCAAAGCAATAATAGTTTATGGCACGAAATGAGGTATGGGCGAGTTACCGCTTCTAGAGGAGTGTACGATGCCATTAAATGCAAAACTATGGACGGGACTTTAATAGAAAAAATTTTTGGTGCGAAAGTATTGCAAACTTCGGATATGGAACGGGGTTTGCGATTAGAAAGAGGGGTACTAAAAGTCTTATTAGAAAACACTAAACAAAAATACAAGAAGGCTGGTATATTTTTATGTAAAGAATGCCCTATTGTAGGAGCCAGTCCTGACGCTATAAATAATAATGTTATAGTGGAAATAAAATGTCCTAGAAGCGAAAAGATCGTGCAAAATTATATTGATAAAGATGGAGATGTAAAATTAAAGTTTATGTATCAAGTACAGTTACAGATGCATTTGACAAAAATAAAAGATGCCCTCTTTGTTGTATAAGTATATGTAAGTTACCATACCATCTGGTGCACAACCAATAAGATACTTCATTGTATTTGATTTTTTGTAGTCGGACCAAGAAAGGGCCTGAAGTATATAATAAATTATAGCTCTTAAATTAACTAATAATAAGTTTATTTTTTATTCGATTCTATACATATATCTGTAAATATACACTTTTTATATAGTTAACTTATATGACATTTTTTATTAAATAATCCTGTATATTCAATAGTCCACAAACAATATTTACTATCATATCTAAATATTTTACTAAACTTAAATGTATAGAGGCATGTGGTTGTAAAATTTTATATTCCCTTATTCTTGATATTACGCGTTCAACATGAATTCGCAGACTTGCAATTTGTTTCGATGCTTTTATTTCTTGCTTTGTACATTTTACATTCGATGATACCGATGGGGGCCTAACCAAGTGATTACCATTTTGAGCGACTAGTTCCTCTAGGTGTTTAAATCCACGATCTGCCATGATATGAGCTCCATTTTCCAGTAAATTTAATATACCACTTTCTTCCACTATCATTTTGTCCGTAGCCCTTCCTCCATATCCTTGAGATATGTAAGTTACCATACCATCTGGTGCACAACCAATAAGATACTTCATTGTATTTGATTTTTTGTAGTCGGACCAAGAAAGGGCCTGAAGTATAGGATTACCAGGTTTTTTAATTGAAACTTCGAAGCAATCAATAATGATTTGCACCTTTTTGTATCTATCTAAACGGTATAGGTAGAATTTTGTAGTTTCCTTCAAACTTCTCCATTTTGTAAAACTTTTTGGGTGGGCCGGTAGTCGAGGTATAGATTTTTGTATAATATTACACACTTGGGTAGCAGAAATTCCAAAATCATCAGCTAAAGTTGCGTATGACATATTTGCTTTAATTTTTTTTAATGTAACGTATATATCCGTTTTAGTTAAGTTACATTGTGAACATAACATTTCTATTATAAAAAGGGACTGCGGCAATATTCCTATATAAAGTTTTGGGTCCCTTTCAATATGAAAAACTGAAATTTTTCTAACTTGGTGCATATCTATATTTAAATCATCTGAAGTGAAGGAAGAACCCCGAGACGTCCCACTTAAAGACAAACTTGAAGATTTTGTTTCTTCCCAGCTACCACTTGATGAATGCACGCACGATGAATCCGTACTCAAGTTATTTGTTTTTGTAATACTACACTGAACACTTTTAGACAGAAAAATAGGTTTAATATTTGCTTGTATATATTTATTATTATTCGCGTGTTCCTGTTGTGTTATTTTGGCAATCAAATTTGTGTGGTATAGTGCCCTGTTTGAATTTTATTGGGACATTTGGCATCATTTTAAAATACATATAATTTCCACGTCTTCTTCAAGCTGTAGAATAAGATGTAAAAAATTAGTTTACGTAAATAATTATAAATTGAACTTACGTTAAAATGATCTTCGCAAACGAATTTTACTGTTTTGTCGTCCAAAAAATGTTCTCTCTTCATAGCTGTTTTCCATTGTCTGCGAAGTTTCAAATCAGCTGATAAACAAATAAGAACTTTATTAGGAGTAGTCTTTGTTGTACTTTGACATTTGGGCACAACACAGTATTTGTAATGCGTTTTATCCATTATGAGATAATCTAATGTCTAATGTTGCTGTTATTTGTCCACACTATCACTAGTCACTCTCGCTCCACTCACAGCCAATTATTTTCGATGTGATGCAGGCCGAATTTCTTATAGTATTTGATATCTATCGAATACAAATAACGTAGTCTTTCATATTATCTCATAAAAAAAAGTTCGAAAATAAGCCTATTGCGAGATACAGTATATTTACAAAATGGTAAATAAAATTCATTTTTTTGACTAGTATTCACATTATGAACATCTTTAATTAATTTATAGTCACCAATATTCTTAAAAACATGTATACACAATTCATAAATAAAAACTCCAGTAAGCGTTAGAATCTTACAACTTTTAAATATATCCCTACATAATATCTAGGAACGTCAGCTACACATCTTAAAATTCTTTTTTGTGTTATAAACACATCCGAAGCCAGGGAGGAGTTACCCCAGAAGATTACTCCATAACCCAGTCGTGATCCTACCTGCACATGGTATAAACATATTAGTTGTTCTTTAGATAAGACCGATTTAATATTTCTAAATAAATAACACACCGAATTTAGTTTTGTAGTTAGGTTTGCACAATGCGTCGTCCAGCTTAAACACTCGTCAATAACAATACCTAAAAATTTCGTGTGGTGTCGTCTGCATACATTACTAGAGAAGCTTCACTTGATATCACCTTCTCTAGCTCGTTAGTGTATATCAGGTAAAGATGAGGACTAATAACTGACCCTTGGGGGACTCCTGTACCTATATAATTATCCTCTGAATTGATCTTATATTGAAAATTATTATTTGTATGTGAGAGACTAACAAATTGTTTCCGATTTATTAAAAATGATTCAATCCAGTTGTATGCGAATCCTCTGATACCATATGAGTATAATTTTATCAGTAGTTTTTTGTGGTCGATACAATCAAAGGCCTTGCTCAAGTCCCAAAAAATCCCTACAGGACATTCTCCTGCTTCAATGCAGGTCACTAGTTTTTGATAAAAAGCATATATCGCTGTATTGGTCGACCTCGTGGGTCGAAATCCCTGCTGGCTGCTTGTAATAACATTATATTTATCAAAAAATTTTAACAGTCTCTCTAAATATGAGTACTCAAATATTTTTGAAAAGCTAGGTAGAATAGTAACAGGTCTATAATTGTCCATAACTTGGGTCGCCTTTTTTATAAATGGGTACTTTGCCTGTTTTTAATTTTTTTGGAAAAGCTCCCGTATTAAATGACAGATTTATCAGAAAAGTCAATGGTTGAATTATGGAGTATAAACACTTTTTTATTAGACTTAAAGGTACTTCATCTGGCCCAGACGAATGCTTGTTTTTTAACTTCTCTTGTAATAAACAGTACAATTCCTTTATGTCAAAAGGTTCGAGGAAAATCGAATTTGGGTTAATTGTGTCACATACAAAATCTCTGGCATTATTCGTAATTTTTTGTGCTATAGTCAAGGGCGTATTTATAACGAAATCATTAAATGCTGTGGCTACTATCTTGGGATTCTCACCTAGTGAAGTTCCAATCATCACATCAATGTTTTTGTTTGTTTTTTGTTTAGTTTTAGATGAAATCACATTCCACGCCGTTTTCGCAGGGTTTTCTGAATAAACTATTTTATTTTGATAAAATTGTTTTTTTATATTCTCCACCAACCCTGTGTGCTCTTTTTTTGCGCAATTGTATAAGTTTGTCAATTCTGGGTATGCTTTTTTTAAGTTATATAGGTTTTTTAGTTTCGTGCTTGATGTTTTTACCTCATTATTTACCCACCGTTTTTATGTTTGTATTTTTTTAATGGAAAATAGATATTAAAATAATACATAAATATATCATGAACATGATGATAAGCTTCGTCTATAGATTTCGTATTATAGATTTCACACCACTGTTCCTTACTTAAGGCTAAATTAAAGTTATTAATAGACATTTCACAAAATTTTCTTGAGAGATGGAAGGAGAGTGAATCGTCATGTATATCTTCTGGGAGTATTTGAAAAAGCACCGTTCTGTGATCGGAAATGACATTGTCAATGACGCATGCTAAGCTCTCATCTTTTACATTCGAAAAGACTTGATCAATAATTGTGGAAGTTAAATCGGTGACACGAGTGGGCCATCCCACCTTCGGATGTAGATCAAAAGTCTTGTCCATTGTCTTGTTCCATGGCTTTCCTGAAGTTGTCTTCGTAAATTGTAACTTTGAAGGATGCATAAATGCTTGGTTGCTTTGGTGTTACCGTCTCGCAATTTACTTCGGGAAAGGCGTCTATTAGTAGATTTTCTAGGTCAGTTGTAGATGTTTCTGGGGCAATTCTGCACACATGTAATTGCACATGTTTCCTCACTCCCTTTATATTGGTTTGCTTGTTATTCCCTACCACCATCTTCCTTGGTTTAAATGGTTTTCGTTTATAGGTGATTTCTTCCCATTCATTATTTCCATTCTTTGTCATTTGCGCCTTAGGAGATGATGGGGCGCAGTTCCTTGGATATTTCATGTAATTTAAGATCGCTCTGTACTTTCAATAATTCAGCTGATACGTTTTTGTGGGAAATTTGTTTTTTAACCTCTTTATTTATATTGGAAGCACTGGCCTCATGTTTATTTGGCTTTGGCGGTTTTTTCTCAAATATCGTTTTTGCCGAATTATCTGTCGCTTGGTTTTGTGTTGGAGGTGCCACGTTTTTTTTGTTGTTTCTGTTACTTTTCCCAGCAATTGAATTTGATCGTGCAACAATTTAATTTTATCCCGCAATTCATCAATTAAAGTGTCTTTTTGTTTAATGATGTACACGAACATTTGAACATCGAGTTTTTTGTCGGTTTGGGGATGAACACTCGCCCATTCCTCCAAAGCATTGTAGAACGCAATGTCGCTATCAGAAATTGTCTTCACAACATTTTATAAAATTTTTGTCATCCACAAACTTTACATTTGGGGAAATTTTTGCACAACTGTTGTGATAACTACTCTCACAGTTTTTACACTTTACACCATTAATTAGCTTAGATTTGCAGCGTTTACACGAGCTAGTTAAATTATTCTTAATAGTTGGGATAATCCATCCGATATAGTTTTCTTGCAATAGCATCATTTTCTCCAGACAAAAAGTAAACCATAACCCTATGGACATTCATATACATGTTTTCTCACACAGAAACTTGGAAATGAAATCTCACCATCACTCAATATTGAAATAAAAAAACTATAAGGTTATTTATTAACATTGAAAATGATTTAGTCTGTCTTATATAACGATATTTCATATCTTGGGATAGTATTATTTGAATACTCCCTATGTCATCAAACATACTTCCTTGGAAGAAATTTTACAGAAAATGCCATTAAGAATTTTTGTTTTCACCTGAAAAATGAATTACTGTTGAAAAATCATGTGCCTACTGTTAAACAAGCATACAACTATTTTTTTGACATTTATATTTTGTTTTAATAAATCTTTTCCTTTGAAAAAGTGCTACAATAAATGTATTGCAACTGGCAAAAAATAGGTTAGAGACAAAGTTAAATGATCAAGTGTAAATTTAAAAGAAAATGTATTTTTTTTTATTGATATATAATTTCTTTTAATTTTTATTGAGAAATATTTTTTTATTATTTAATTTTAAGACATTTTGAATTATTATCATAGTCTAAATTACAAGAAAGTATCTTTTGTTTGTTTGATAAACTGTTGAATGCAATTTTTTTATAAGATGAATGAAATCGCAAAATCAGTGATATGAGTGTTTATAGAATTTCTATTTCACGTTGAAAGTATGATGAGACAAATTTTAAATACAGGGTGTAAATGATAAGTTTTGCCAAACTTTAATGGCGTATTTTACCAATGAAAATAATCAAGTTTTTTTGGCCTATAAAAATTTAAAAGTTTAAAATATTTCAATTATTTTGTTTATATTTTGAACATTTCTTGTGATAATTGTGTAATGTTTTGAAATCTATAAAAAATATTAGGTATTGAATTTATTGTTACACATTTAGCAATCAATAAAAAATGGTAAATACACTAAAACCGCTGTATCTTTTCCATTGTGTCACAAGCAATATTCGTATGAACTAAGACAAAAAATCCTAGTCAAGTTAGTCACTGTTTTCATACAGGGAGGAAGTCCCAATATTGTGAGGGGGTGTTCAGGGGGCAAAAGTGAACAGAAAAGCCTAATAAACATATGGTCAAATATCAGCGGTTGCTGAGATGCAAGAAAAGCTCTTCATTGCGAAATTTGTTATTATTTGATATTTTATTGCAACCTGTCTCCAAATGAAGTAAACTACGGCATGGGAAATCATTCACAAAAATGGTTTAAAACCGTTCTATATTCAGCGCGTCCAGAATCTGCAGGAAGGTGATAATGATTTGCGGTTGTATTTTTGCAATTGAATAAACGGAAACCGTACACTTTACAAATACATCATGTTTACTGATGAGGCTCAATTCACTTGTGATGGAGTAAATAATTGTCACAATGAACATCGTTGGTCAGATGAAAATAATTAACTCATGTAAAAATATTTTCATTGCTATCTCAGTAACTGTTGATATTTGACCATATGTTTATTTGGCTTTTCTGTTCGCTTTTGCCCCCTGCACATCTCATTGGAATATTGGGGGTTAATCCCCAATCACCCTGTATAATTGAAATGTCATCTTGACAATTCCCAAATCTGGATATTTCGCAAATTTTAATACTGGTATTACTGAATACGAAAATATGCCAAAAAATCGATCTTTCAACGCTCAGAAAATATATACAACAGTTAGAACAAAGATGCAATCAGAACAACTGTTAAATTTTTAATCAGAGTGTCAGTTCTTTGTTTTAAATGCGCTAATCGAACTACAGTCTAAAATTAGACTATGAAGACATTTATACCATCATTGTATCTCTTTTTAGCATGTTTAATAATGAATTCACGCCCGCAACGACTGTCTTTGATATTAGGACACACTCGTGATGTAATGGCAATTTTAAAACGGTTCTAGTGTAGCAACGTAGGTACTTAAATATCTTTTTATTTGATTTGCCCATTATCTAAAGCCCAGTAAATTTTACGAATACTTTATTGCCACAAATTGATTGTACATTTTAAAAACATTTAAAATTATTTAAAAAACCGGTGGCGTACGATTTTTTTTCAAAAAAGGTTCCCTACTCCCCCAATAACTATACCACTGGAGTATATTTTGAAATAAGTTATCCATCAAAAAATAGTCCCTATTAAAATAATGTCATCCCCCAAATTTTATCACTCAATAATTTTTGCCAGTGAAGTTACAGGAAAAATAATTTAAATGAAGATTTTAACACCCTGTATCTCCGTAGGCAAGCGTCCTATCAAACATTTTTATAGGGCAAAACTTGATTATTTTCATTGGTAGAATATGCCATTAAAGATTGGCTAAAATTATCATTTACACCCTGTATATTAATTACACAGACCCACAAAAAAAAAAAATTTGAAAACACCAGAGACTAGACTCACCTATCCTTATGTATTTTGTTGCGCTGAAACTGAATCCGGAGTCAAAATTGCTCCATCACCCTCCAGTTTTTTTTAAATCGCCAAAAACTACCCCAAAAACACGGAAAATCTTCAAATTTTGCGATTAACAAAAAAAACTGGAGGGTGATGTAGCAATTTTGACTCCGAATTCGGTTTCAGCGCGTCAAAATACATAAGGATAGGTGGGTCTAGTCTCTGGTATTTTAAAATTTTTTTTTTTTTTTGGTCTGCGTCTGACCAGAGTCAAAATTGCTCCATCACCCTCCAGTTTTTTTAAATCGCGAAATACTACTCCAAAAAACAGAAAATATTCAAATTTCGCAATTTAAAAAAAACTGGAGGGTGGTGGAGCAATTTTGACTCCGGATTCGGTTTCAGCGCGTCAAAATACATAAGGATAGGTGGGTCTAGTCTCTGGTGTTTTCAACTTTTTTTTTTGTGGGTCTGTGTTATTTATGATATGACCCGATAAAAAAGTACACCATTACTTTTGCCTCAGGATTTTGTGCAGATCACAAACTTCTTCCGTAATCAATGTACCACCTTAAAATTCTTGCAGATATCTCACAGATTTTGGTGCAGTATGTGCTGTGTCTATTTTGTTAAAAATATCCGCCTTGTAGTTCGTCATCATGCACTGATTCCAGGGCTCGCTGTAAAATATTTTAGTATTGTTTATGATTCCTGTGAAAACAATTGGGACTACTATCTGTCTCCTTGCAACCGCCTATCATCTGAGATGTAACCTAGTTGTATAATTTTGACTTCATATTACCAGATAAATGCAGCCATATTATATTTTTTGACTTTAATCATTTTAGGTATTTTTGTGAAAACAATAACCGCCAATGGAGCAGCTGCAAAAGATGGCAGAATAAAGGTAAACGATCAAATCATTGAGGTTGATGGCAAAAGTCTGGTAGGTGTTACCCAAGCTTATGCGGCCAGCGTATTAAGAAATACTTCAGGATTAGTAAAGTTTAGCATAGGAAGGGAACGAGATCCAGAAAACAGTGAGGTAGCTCAGCTTATAAGGCAGTCGTTACAGGCGGATAAAGAAAGAGAAGAACGAAGGCAGAGGATGATGGAAGTGGAGCAGCAACAGAGTGATGCCAGTACTGTCCCGTTAACAGGTAATCTACTTTGAATGTGTCGATGTGTTACTACAAAAACATGCTACCTCAAATTTACCTTGAAAAACCTGCTATCTAAAATTGTCCTTGGTAAAGTTGCTACCTAAAATTGTTTGTGGAAAACACGCTACCTCAGATTGAGCTGGGAAAACATGCTACTTCAAATTAAGCTTGGAAAACATGCTAGCTCAGATCTTTAAGAAAAAACATGCTCACACAAAATTAAAGGACCCCGCACAAATCTTATGGAAATTGGGTCCCGGTCAAATTCGCTGAATTTTTGATATGTGATAAAGTTCATCATACTGGTCAATTGTCTCAATGGCCACAAAGCTCAAAAATGGATAGTTTGGCCGGTACAGAGCTTTAAAGCTCCGAATATCCTCCACGGATTTATGTATATGCGCAGTGTGTATAGACTTTTGAAATAGCCTATTTCATTTTTTTTATTATCTAGGTTTATAATTTTGAGGTTGCTGAATTCAGATCTGTTGTTAGATTTTCAAAATTGACAGTTGGCAGCTGTCAAATAGCTGTCAATGTGCTATAATAAAGCCAAAAACTTGTTTTTTTATGTTTTATCTTTCTTTTTTTTTAGTTCGATAAGTTCAAAGACGATATCAAATCAATAACAATGACTATCGGCAGCTGTCATTTAGCTGTCAACAATTCTTCAAAGTCCGGTAATAAAGTCAAAAAATTATTTTTTGTTTATAACTTCAAGTTTTTTAGATAAGTGAATATAAATATGATATAAAATTATGTAGTCATCAGCTTACAGCTGTCAACAAGCTGTCAACTAACTGTCAAAATGCAATAATAGAGTCAAAAAGTTACTTTTTTTAAAAAGCTTTAAGTTGCTTAGATCACTGAGTTCAAAAGTGATGTCATAAACTTATATCATGTTTGATTTCTTATCCACAAAGTTAAGCACAAAAAATAAGTTACTTGCTCTATTATTGCATTTTGACAGTTAGTTGACAGCTTGTTGACAGCTGTAAGCTGATGACTACATAATTTTATATCATATTTATATTCACTTATCTAAAAAACTTGAAGTTATAAACAAAAAATAATTTTTTGACTTTATTACCGGACTTTGAAGAATTGTTGACAGCTAAATGACAGCTGCCGATAGTCATTGTTATTGATTTGATATCGTCTTTGAACTTATCGAACTAAAAAAAAAAGAAAGATAAAACATAAAAAAACAAGTTTTTGGCTTTATTATAGCACATTGACAGCTATTTGACAGCTGCCAACTGTCAATTTTGAAAATCTAACAACAGATCTGAATTCAGCAACCTCAAAAATATAAACCTAGATAATAAAAAAAATGAAATAGGCTATTTCAAAAGTCTATACACACTGCGCATATACATAAATCCGTGGAGGATATTCGGAGCTTTAAAGCTCTGTACCGGCCGAACTATCCATTTTTGAGCTTTGTGGCCATTGAGACAATTGACCAGTATGATGAACTCTATCACATATCAAAAATTCAGCAAATTTGACCGGGACCCAATTTCCATAAGATTTGTGCGGGGTCCTTTGAATAAAAATTTAAGTTGGCTGCACTGGCGTTGCATTGAAACCGTGCACTTAAATAAACTTATGTAATATATTTTTCAAAAAGTAAGGAATATTTATGTTCAGGTACACTGTTTATTTTATTTTTATCAACATTTTTCAATTAATTTTATTAACTTATAAACGACAAAATTGTTAATTAAAAAAATAGAATAATATCCAGTATGCTGTAACACGTGCATTACTCGAGACGTTTTTTGAAATAACAAATTATAAAAAAATAGTGTATACTTTAATATACAGGGTGATTCGCAAACGGTGAAAAAAAATGAAACCTGGTTGTTGAATTTTAAGAGGAGTCTTTTGCATAAAGTTTATCAATAGCAATTGGCAATTGGCAATTGCTCTTAACTTGCATTCAGATAAAGTCTTGCTTTTTACACACAGCTTTGTATTTATAAATGCATAATTAAAAATATCAAAAATTTTTAAATTTTTTTTGTGAAATACGGTTTTTACAATTGTTACTTTTCAAATATGAACAAGATGCGACAATTTGTAGAAAAACACCATTTATTCATAAAATTTCATTAATAGAGTTAACATAATAACCAGAATATAAATATAATGTATAAAGTTGAATGATAGGTACGATAAAATGTATGCATGGGGAACTGCGGAAACATGCATGTGCATAACATCTGCTCCGCGCCCGCCGCATCGATACCCATCAGATCATAAAGTACCGGTAATAAAAGTATCGCATACCTAGATTTCATTTCCAAAGTCTATGCAAGCACGGGGCTACCGTACCTTTAAGAAGCCATTTGTTTTTATTGAGGTGCAGTAAGAACGTTTCGGACCCGGAGTTTGGGGCCTAGCCTGGTCCATTACCTATATAATTCTTTTTATTGCAGTTTTCTTAGAGTCCGCATTAATAATAATAATAATAATAATAATAATAAATCGGCTTTATTTGACAGATAATTACGATAATACAAACACAAATAAACGAAAATAATTCAACCTAACTTATGGCGAAGTCTAGCCAAGGCTACTCCACTCAACCATAAGGTAAGCAATATCATAAAAGAGAAAGTATTGAAATTCAAAGTAGAATGACATTGCAATACAAACACACAAACATCTTAACATAATAGGTATTTAAATATGTACGAGTATTATTGTTTAAAAAGTAATAAAAAAATGAATAGCACAACAAAATTAACTATCAAATTAAGAATAATGTTAGCAATTACGTAGTATGCTGCCTGCTCAATAAATATTGTCTAACTTTATATTTAAATTTGTCGATGTTAAATAATTTGAAATCGTCAGGAAGGGAGTTATAAAATGTAATAGCGTTGTATGTAAAACATCTTCTGAAAAAAGCAGTTGTATGATGGGGCATCGTGTACTTGTTTTTAAATTTAATATCTCTGGAATGAACATTACCATGCAGTAAAAAATTAGTTTTTAAAGAATGATGAGAAGGAATAGTGATAATCTTATGGAAAAAATTGCAAAGATGGTGACGCCTACGATTATCCATGTTGAGCCACTTGATCTCCCCAATGACATGAGATATATGGTCATATTTTCTTAGACCACTAATAAGACGACAACATGAATTTTGTACTTTTTGAATCCTGTATTTCTCCTGTTGAGTAAGACAAGGACCATATACGTAGTCACAATAATTGAAATGGGAAAGAACAAGTGACTCACACAACATAACTTTAAATTTTTTATTAAGAACGTGACGACTACAATAAATCAACCTAAGAGATGAATAAGCTTTTTGTATTAATGATTTAACATGCTCATCAAAACGCAACTTACAGTCAAGAATTACTCCTAAATTTTTTGCATGGCTAGTAATGGGAACTGGAATACCATCGATCATAACCTCAAAATTACGTCTTAAAATTCGCAAATCTTTTTCACTACCAAAAAACAAAACTTTCGACTTATTCGAGTTCAATTTTAAATTATGCTCATCTGATAACAATTTTATAGTTTGTAACTCAGAGTTGATGACGTCATTTGCCTGCCGAAAATCATTAATATTAAAATGAAAATAAAGTTGAGTATCATCGGCATATGCTTGAAGTTTACATTGACGAACAGATTCTAATATGTTGGCAGTATAAATTATGAAAAGCAGGGGACCCAGAATCGAACCCTGAGGAACACCAGAGAGAATTTCTAAACTGGTAGATAAAATATTATCAACACGTATACTCTGGGACCTTCCATGTAAATAAGAATTAATTAGTGTGAGTGAATCATTATCAAATGCATAATACTTTAGTTTAGAACATAAAAGCTTATGATTTATGGTATCAAAGGCCTTTGAGAAATCCAATAAAGCCAAAACGCTAACCAAACCCATATCATGAGCCTTTATTAAGTCATCAGTGACGGTGACTAGGGCAGTCGAAGTACCACTACCCCTTCTGAAACCACATTGCGATTGAGGCAAAAGTCTGTTATTCGTAAAATAATTGTACACTTGATTATATAAAATTTTTTCAAAAATTTTTGAAAGAGCCGGTAATATACTGATTATTCTAAGATCGGAAAGAGAAGTAGGGTTATTCTTTTTAGGTAAAGGTAAACCAATCGCCTGTTTCCACATATAAGGAAAGTATTGTCTCTCAATACAGCAGTTAATAATATGAGTAACAAAGGGATCAATGAAAGGGCTACAGTACTTCAACATGGTAGAAGAAATATTATCAATACCAAATGCACAAGTTTTAATACTATTAAGAATTGAGTGAACCTCATCTACAGTAGTAAAGGAAAATTTAAAAGAAATATCACGATCAATCCTATTATTATTATAAAACTCTATTTGATCATCACATTTATTCGATATATTTTGTAAAAATGAAGCACAGTAGTTGTTAATTATATTAGGGTCAGCCAACTCAGAGGGCAAATTATAATTTTTACTTGACCGAATATTAAGGGTATCAAGAGCTTTCCAGGTTTGTTTGTAATTTTTCTGAGAAGCAACGAACTCCAAGTAACCCTTCTTTTCCCGTCGAACCATAGCAACACAGTAATTACGTAAATCCTTATATTCCAACCAATCAGTTTGCATACGAGTACGTTTAAATTTCTGAAGAGCTTTATCCCTTTGCTTCATGATTAGTTTTAAATTAGGGGTTAACCAAGGAGCCCTAGGTTTCGTAACTCTTACTTGTTTCAAAGGAGCATGCACATCAAATACAGTAGTCAAAAATTGATTAAAAAGTAATATCTTTTCATCTATATTATTTTCCTGAATCAAATCAAACCAAGAGAGGTTTTGCAAATCATTTAAAAAATCGTTCAAACTAAAATTATTAAAACAACGATATGATATTAGTTTAGGAGTAGACCTATTTAAAACAAATTTCAGGTTGCAAAAAACCACTCTGTGATCTGAAATACCATCAGCAGAAATGGTACCAAAAGATTCAACAAGATCAGT